AAACAGGAAAAGATTATTGTTGCAACAACGGCACTTCATAACTACATTAGACAGTGTGGTGTTATAGATGAGGAGTTTGACAAATGTGATCGTAATCCCAATTATATTCCTGAAAGTCAAGAAGAAAGAAGTAATGATGAAGAAATGGGTTCATATTCTTCTAGAAGAGCATTGGATGATAGTTACATGGGTAGAGTTTGCAATCAAATAGCTACTGCATTGATGAAAAATAGAAATCGTTAATTTATGAGTTATTTATGAATTATTTGTGAAACTCTTTTTTAATGATTTATTATTAATTATAAACTTAATGTTATATAAAAATGCTTTTATATTTTTAAAAATTTATTTTAAATAGATAAAACACAAAGTTAATTTTTTCTATTTTGAGTAAAGAAATTTGTGATTAATAAAAGTTATTTATTAAATATCTTTTATGGTAATTTTAACCTAAATTAGAGTTTATATAAATTATTTTACCAAACAACTTATCTATAAAAAAGAGTTTATAAAACGTAAATTTATCAAATAGTTTTAACTTAATTTTAAAAACTATTATTTTTTATAAGAGTTTTATAATAGCTTTTAAGCTAAAAAAAGTCAGACCAAACATGTTCTAAAATGCTTAAAATGTGACAAAATAACTCTAGAACATAAAGTTATCAAATATCAATTCCCAGAAACAAAATAAAAAATTAGCTTTTGCTTATATATATTAAACCAAGCCGGTTGTTTAATGTTGAAATGAATTGAGAAGAGTTATCATGATTGAGAATGAGTCTCTATCTCATTCAGCTAATCAATCTCTGTAGCCCAAAGGCTTATCCTTTTTACCAAAAATAAACAAAGAATACCTAAAATTCCAACGTATAATAGTGAAAGCCTGCATCCTTATCATTCAAGTTTTAATGGTGGAACCCTATATTTAATTCCCTTCTTCAGCAAATAATAAAATTTTATTTCTTTTTCAATTATTTTTTTATGGTAGTTGATTACAATTATTTCCTCCCTCATTTCCTCCTTTTATCTTTTTTTTTCTTCTCACCAATTTTTTTTACTTTTCTAAATAAGGCCTAAAATGATGTCAATTTAACCCTCATATGTTCATAAAAATTAAAAAAACAACACAAAACGACATCATTCTAGATGTCGATTATTAAAAAAAAAAAAATACAAGTGCTATCTCTAAATTGTGGTGAATCTTTTATGTCAATATAATTTAGACGATAACTCAACTTTTTACGTAAAAAAAAAAAGGAAAAGTAAGTGAGAAGGAAAAAAAAGCATTCAAATATGTAAAATACAAGTGTTTATACATCAAATTGGATCAAAGGAATTTAATAAAGTTTTTTTGAGAAAAGTTATTATCAATCTGATTCTTTTATTTAATTATCATTTTTTAAAAATATACAATTTAATTGAGCTAAACTCTAACCGAAAGTTCTGTAGTTAAGCCCTTTGTAAAATGGAATAAACCAAGTCCTTATAAACTTGAACGGCTAATCCGATTTTCAAACATTTCACCAGCTGGAGCAGCGCTCCAAAGGAAAGATAAATGATGCTATCACAAAAGTAGGAACCTAGAGGTTGACTGGTTGTAGCCGGTGAGCGACCGGGAAAACCGTCAACCCGGCTAGCCAACCAGGGAGCTTGTTTAGGGGTGAGGGCCCACATGCCCCGTCTATAGTCAATCGCGGTTCAGCGAAAAGGGTCCCACCATTTCCACACCCTCACGTTTTTTCATACGCTGCTGTACAACAACCTACTAAATAAGGACCAATTGAAATGCACAAGGTGTCAATTATACAAAATTTACGCCGAAATGAGATGAGCATAAAAATAGTCTCGACAGCAGCTGATACAAGCCCGGGAGCTTAATTAAATATCAGCCCTGCAAATAAGGGCGAAGCAGGAAGCGGTGCATATTGCACACGCATCCAAAAAAGGCCGCAGTGCCCCGAAAGCAGCAGCGTTAGAGAAAAAGGTTTTGCCGAGTGGGTATTGGCCACCCTTCCTCAAAAGCAGAGATATTTAGATTTAGACAAACAAAAGCTCCCAAAGCAAGACTTGAGAAAAAACCAAAAAGCTGAGAGTAATGGCTAAGTCTGTCCCGATTTTAACCTGCGTTACTGCCCTCCATCTCATCGCCTTCGTCTTCGCCGTTGGCGCCGAACGACGCCGTAGCTCCGTACACACTCTCTCTCTCTCTCTTAAACTTTAAGACAGTGATGTCTGTGGGTTTTTATTTTTTTATTTTTTTACTTCTTTTGCGTTTGAACTCTTTGTTTTTCTTTGTGGGTTTGGTTTTGTGAAGGCTAAGGTGGTGGCTGATCGGTACGACGAGAGGACCTACTGCGTCTACACTACGGACGCCTCGACGGTGTATGGATTGATTGCTTTTGGTTTGCTGCTGCTTAGCCAGACTGTTCTCAACGGCGTTACTAGATGTCTCTGCTTCGGGAAAGGCCTTCGTACAGGCACTTCATCCACCACTTGGGCCATCTTTTTCTTCGTTTTCTCCTGGTAAGTTTACCCAAATCTCCCTTACATATGCTAATAATAATTTCACTCTCTTTTCTTCTTTACTAGTTTGATTTGGTATTACTAATTGCTTAGCTGTTGTCATTTTGCTTGGCGTGAGTTCAATTGAAGATCTATCCATGCATCTGCTGTTTTTTATAATTATTACTGCTTTTAACAACACCCCACCGACAAATTTAAGAGGTACCCTGTTTTATTTTGTGTATTGAAATGATTATTTTGTCTTGATGCCTCTTTCCTTTGACTGATTTTTTTTTCCCAGTGATAAAATTAATTATGCACATGCATGGATCCCGCATTTACCCAATGGATAACTTAGAGGCTAACAGGTTGTACAAGGATTTTGAATATCAGGCTTAATTGATGATGATTCTTCCATGTTGTTGGCCTAGTAGAGAAAATTTTGTCTATTAACTTTGGATTTGCAATTTCAGTCTTAATTGTTCGTGTAAGCTTTTTGTTTGGAAGATATTTAAGAAACTTGACCAAAGAACAAGTCTTGCAATTAAAATTGGGGACAATAGGAATTGCAGGTTCAAGTTTTCCTGTAGTCTACGGAAATTCAATTAGTATTTGATGAGGTAGTTTAACCTGGAATTGGGACCTGCAGCAGAATTATGCCTCTTTCTTTGGTAGAACAATGGTGTTACGCTAAGGGACTTCTGCTGGGAAAATTAAAGCTTGCCAGGCTATAGGAGTTTGTATTATGTAAACCAAAAGAAAAAATATTTCTAAGTTTGATACTGTTAAGACACAATTATTCCTTTAAGAAGTAGACTAGGATATCAAGCTCCCATTCTCAAAGTATTTGAAGGCAGAAGACTAGTAAGAAGAATCTTTGTTATCTTTCATTCACTGAAATCATCTTCAATGTTTTTTGTTGTTGCTGTAACAAAGTTTGACAATGAATTAGGATAAGCTTTTTGGGAGCTGAGGCATGTTTGCTGGCGGGATCAGCACGGAATGCATACCACACCAAGTACCGAGGAATCTTTGGCGGAGATGACTTATCATGTGCTACCCTCAGGAAAGGTGTCTTCGCCGCTGGAGCTGCTCTCACTTTGTTGTCTTTGCTGGGATCAATCTTCTATTACTGGGCTCACTCTAGAGCTGATACCGGTGGATGGGAGAAACATCAGAATGAAGGCCTTGGAATGACCAGTTCTAGTTATGCACAGCAGCCTCCTGAATTTGGGAAGGTCTAACTCTCATTGTGGTTTGGGTTGTTTCGTTTCCACAATTTTTGGTGCTTTGTGTCGAGAGAGGTATGGATAGATCAAGAATTAATGGACCATATGAGCTTGTGCATGAAATATAAGTTACATAGTTTTGCAGATCAAAGACAAATTATGTAGGGTACTATGGTTATTAATTGTTAATATTTACCAATTTACTTAGCCTCGTTTCGGTGATCACATCTAGTTTTTCCCCCATTGCCCCTCTTATTGCATTTTAATAACACTCGACAAAATATGTCATGCAACGGTTTATATCTTTTAATCTTAATTAATTTTTGTGCTACTCTAAGATACGGCATAGAATGCTAGTTGGCGCACTAGGCAACAACAATAGGTGCTTTGACCTTTTACTCACGTTGCCGAAGGTCCCCATCGTTGCTCACTAATTTTCCTTGAGTTGCTTGCCTTCTCCCACCGTCACCTTTCTAAATCAGTTGGGGTATTAGGGACGGAGTTAGTTAATTTTCATTGGGCCAAAGAGGAATAAAGCTGCAAAATTTTTTGAAAGAACTATTTAGACAATATATGCTTTTAAAGCAACAAAAAATATATAATATATATAATATTTTAAAATTTTTTGAAGATCACAGTTCCTCATAAATACACTAGACCCTACCCTTGTGAGCCAGCAACTCACCTATAAGTAACCTGTTTATTGATTGGATTAATTAAATATTTGTCATTTAATGCTTTAAAACACAAGATTATAAAAATAAAGAATAATAAAATGATTTCAAGATGTGTATCATTGTTATCCTTTTTCAGATTTTATTCATCCTTATTGATAATGTACAAAAGAGTAATAGATCAAAAATTTCAAAGATATGATGAATTTCAATGATTGATTATATTTTGTATTGATTTGATTATATTTTGTACTGATTTAAGTATTCATTATTGTATGGTAAAATTATCAAATTTATATAAATATGTTTTTTAGTAAAATTGAATGGAAGGAATTGGAAAAAAATTACAGAAGGTGAGATTATATGAATGTGTTTTTATATCTTTTTGAACTAGAGGAGTCCCTATTTAAAGGCATTTTAAATGTTTGTTTTTTATAGACATAATTGTATGTTTATACAAACAAAACTATTGATATAATTAATAGTTAATTAATAATCATTTAATTCAAAATTTAAATTTAAATTTAAATAATTTATTATTTAATTAATTGCATTTGCTCTTATATCTACAAATGCACGTGTCATTGTGTCTAAGTGTTACCTGTCAAGTGTCTTTATTAAATAATAATATATATGATTTATATATTATTAATTTAATTAAATTACAAGATTAACCAAGGTTTGAAAAGCCTAGTCATTATCTAATTTGCACTTTAAACTTGTAGATAAAAGTTCTTATCAGATGCCAAAAGTGCCGATAACCCCACTAACGTAAATCACTAACTTCCCGCACGAGAATCCTTAAAGCTACTTATCTATACATGGGAACAATACATTATGGTGAGTTTTCATTAACTCAATGAGAGGGGAATAATTAATATGCGTAAACTGTCATATTAAGATATGCAAGTCATGAAAGCATATACAAAATAGTTTGTCAAACTCGTCGGAGTACACATTTGCTCATTTCATAGCTTACCAATAGGCTTCCAAGCGTCATGAGCTAATAACAAGATGGTAACAAGAGAAGGGTTTCTTGAGTAATGAGACACGCCTAGTACTGAAGCCACTGACAATAAACAAGACCTTAAGGATCACGACACATTTTAATTAGACCATACCATCGTCCGGAATATGCTCATCGGATGAAAATCATACGCACCTCAATTTGTCCAATAGCTCATTATGTAGCAAATAATATCACATATACATAGATGAACGCAACAAACCGGTGCTATCATAATTAGTGGTAATTACTCATGCATAATAACATTGCCATCATCAAACTAAGGCACCAAGCAATAGGCTTGTGCAACAAATAGGCAATTCATCAAACATAGTCATAGTTTTGCTCAATCACCACAGAGTGGCTCAATCAATATACACAAGTTTGGCTTATCAACTATGACTCACTTACATCCCATGGCAGCACATATACATGTGTTATGCATTATATGCATTTACCCAATATAAAACAAGCCTTACTTACCTGAATTTTGCCAATAGAGCTCACCTATAGCTTGTAGCTTTTGGTGATAGTTAAATTTAAGCTTACTGGCAATTCTTGAAGCTTAGTTTTCCCTTATCAAGAATATAAGAGCTGGACTCTTAGTTTCAAAGCATTCCCAGCATTTGATAATTCAACTAGACTCTAAGTCTAACTATCAACTCATAATTCATACTTTTCTCTAAGTTCCAAGACTTTAGGTGGTTAGAACTTTACCTTATAGCTGATTTGAACTCCTCACAACTCCAACAATCGAACAACTAAAGAGGAAAATCAATTGAGTTGGAACCATAAACAAGTCTCATTCATAAACCAATTAATTTATAAACTAAACGGTTAAAAAGCTTAATCTTACCTCTTTGATAATTTTTAAGCTCTTAACGCCTAAAATGAGCTTTAATGTTCTTTGGAGAACTTGTGGTTTCAAACAGTAGTTGAGGAGAGTTTTTCTTCCCATTTTTTTTTCAAATAGGTGGAATGCCTAAGAATGCCTTTTATTTTTGCACTTTTTCATGCATCTATCGATAGATCTCACACGATTTCTCATATTTGAACCTTGATCTATTGATAGATGGTGCAATGGACACCTTCAAATCATTCTCATATTACTATCTATCGATAAATTCGATACATTTATCGATAGATTACTTCCAAAATACTTCAAAATTTTCATGGATGGACATCTATTGATATTTGCGTGAATCTATTACTAGATGTGCATCACTTTCCTCTTACTGACGGGTGGACATCTATCAATAATTGAGTGAAACTATTGATAGATGTTCTTTAGTTTGTTTCAAGTTATCTTTTTGACTTGAATCTATTGATAGATGTAGAACATCTATTTATAAGTTATACCAAAACCTAAAATTTTAACATTTCCAAGCCTTTAATTCTATCTCCAAACTTCTTAACTTATATTTACTTAATCAATCATTAAATTTTTTAACAACCATGTTTCACATTGTCAACCTATAATCCCAAGCTCATCAAACATCATTTAAAATCATCAAATTCAATATAAAACTTCCAATCATACCTCAAATCATAGGTTAACACATCAAATATCTTTGCATAAACTATAAGCAACATTTAGCGAAGTTAGGGGTGCTACAAACACATTCTCACTGGAGGGAAGATTGTTTTAGGTGGAGTATGCAATCGAGGCCATCAAGGTAACAATTTCCCCAAACTCATAAAAAATGTTGTTTCTATTTGTTTCCTTGGAAAAATTAGCCCGATATTGTTTTCCAACACTCAAATTCTTATCTTCATTAAGTAACTATTTTTTTAATAAAGTATATATTATGGGTTTTTTTGTGTGGATATATTGCATTGGCATAAAGATGAAAGAAGGCATCGTCCTTGTTGTTAAGAAGTTTATCACTTCACCACTTTTGATTTGCCTTCTTCTCTTTTTGTTATGTTGGGTATTTCAAATCATTAGGAGCTCCAGTTCATTGTTTTGGCTACTCTTTGGTGGTAGCTCTTTTGGAGGAGGAAAATTGTGCATTTTCCAACTTTTCTTTGTTTCAACAAATGCTATAGTAGTATAAATTGATGCTACTCTTTAAGGAATGAAGGAAGAACTTTTAACCTCTTAAGGAGTCTATTTCTTAGCGAATTATCAGGCCTTAGTCCCAGCTATGATTATTGGTTTCTAGACCATGCTATGGATATATTATTTTGGCCCAAATCTAAGGCTCCTTTTGATTGTTTTCTCAATTTGCCTTTTGGGTTTGGAAGTCAAAAAGAAGAAAGTGAGCGAGGATATAAAAGCTAATAGTATTTTTGAATGAGTATAGATAAAAGGCTAATTGCTCATTTTAAGATCTAATATTTGTCAAATTCTTCATTTTAGGATTCAACTTATTATTTTGTTCAAATTAGGATGTAACCTTTGGATTTTATCTATTGAAGGAAAATGGATGACAAAATTTAGCAAATATAGTTAAATTCTAATGTGTATATAAATCGACTTGGATTTTATTAAAACGTTACACTTGAACCAAATGAAAACCATTATTAAGATATAGCAACTAAATAACAATATCCAAATCTAGCCAACTTCAAGATAATTTCAACATCACACTTAGTATTCATTACACAACCTTAAGGTTTTTATCGATACAATCCGAAAAACTAATAATTTTTATAGGTCTAACTGGTTCACACAACACGACCTCTATGCAGCGGAATGACTCGTAGTGTAAGTCTAAGAGATGCCATTACTTATGTCACAGCGAGTCAAAATATGCTAGGCAACACACTTGAGCTAATCACTTACCAGCAAAAAAAGAATATAAGGAGGGTGAGTCTCATAAACTCAGTGATCAGCGGCTTTATGAGCAGGACGTAGATGGGAAACAAGCCAAGGACAGAAAGTTTGAATGTTGAAACATAAGAGTATATATAAACAACTTAGCTCAAAAGGGAGATTTGTGCCATACATAAAAAAAACAAGAATGACAATGCAACATAATCCTTTAACAATAAATATATCAAAATCATTGCAAGTGAAAGATTTATACCCACGAAATCATTTATCAACTTAACTCAAATCAATCCAACACAAACACACACGCTCCCATGAAATCAAGCATTATTAAAGCTTATACACAATTCACAAATTTCCTCATCCTTGAGGAATTAAATATAAAGTCATAGTATAATTACGGGAGTTGCGAAAAAACTTATAATTCTCACCATGCAAAATAATACATGTTTGAAAACCCAAAGAGAGAACACTCTTAAATAGGTAATCGTAGTAATCAACTCGTAGACCTGTTTTCACATAATAACATCCGGGAGGCCTCCCTCCACCAAATTTTCATAGCCATGGCAGTCTCGACGATGTTGGCCGACAACGGAGAAATCATGTGGTCACAACCATGAATATCAACTTGTGGCCTAGCCACATATATCATCCTGTGGCCTTACCACGTATATAAATCACAGATAGTGGCCTAGCCATGTCTAACAGCCTGTCAGTGACCCAAAGGTTCTCTAGCTAGAGCTCACTTGTGCACAAGGGTCACACTATC